CATAATTAGCTAAATTAGAAGAGAATTACCAACAGAATTCCAATGAGTGACCGATCAAGAAAGGTCTTTTTTTGTTTATCCAGACTGTACATACATGGATATTTATGATTATGGTAAAAAGTCTTAATTATATGCAATAAGAACATAATGATATGATTAAGAATACATGATAATTCATTAGAAACAACAATTAATCAAATAGTTTGCTTAATTTGACACTAAAAAATAAGGAAATCCATCTTTAAACATATGTGTAACAAACTTAAAATGGTTGCCAACAAAAATAATTTCGGATAATATTATTGTAATTGGATCATATTTCATGCTGTAAAATTGAGTCGATTACTTCCATACTTCGGTGTTGAAGTTGCTTTTCTATCTGAAAAATAATTGGAAATGACTGTAAATCTATGATGCAATACATTTGCTTCGATTAAATTGAGTAGTAAGGTTTCATATTGAACTGATACGAGCAAGTTCAGCAAGGATATTAATGCACATCCGGGGACATAAACAATCCATAATATTTATTCTTACTCTAAATGACCTCTTGTAGCTGCTCTAAATTGTACTCGGGAGGTGTACAGTCTTTGTTTGACTATAGCTTTCGTATTAGACCTGTCTTAATCGCGACAGAAAAATACCGACCCACGTTGTTTTCTGACATGAATCTTTCATTTCACAAAATGTGGTTTGACACACACGACCGTGTATCAGGAAGTAATTACATGCCTCCGAAGTCTTTTGCAATAGAACCAAGAATAACGATATAAAATATGATCTTATAATACACATTTGGTATGTTGGTAATGTCGATTGTATTTTCCGACATGGTATTATGATGGTGTTTTTTTTGCCATGGTGCTAACGAAATTTTATACAGTTAAGATGCTCAACATGGTGGTGGTGTTTTCTTACACGGTATGATATTGAAAATTGTGGTGGTATTTTCTGGTATATGTATATACAAAATTATTTTGTTAAAAACGGTTATGAAATTTAGCATGTTGCTCATGACGATTCAACATAGTTATCAATATATCTTGCATGATGTAAATATCGGCGAGTCAGTGACTATATAGCATGGTGAAACATGAAAGTAAATGACAGTGATTATATCTAGCACGGTGTCAGAAACGTTATTATATTTAACATGGGGTAGATTACGGTGATAATATCTAGCATGATGAAAGTGATTATATAACATTTGTAAATGACGGTGATTACATTTAGTATAGTGAAGCTTGAAAGTGATTAAATAGCATTTGTTAATGACGGTAATTATATCTGACATGGCACTAAGTTATAATATTTAGCATGGGGTAAATGGCAGTAATTATATCTGACATGGCACTAAGTTATAATATTTAGCATGGGGTAAATGGCGGTAATTATAACTGACATGGCACTAAGTTATGATATTTAGCATGGGGTAAATGGCGGTAATTATATCTGACATGGCACTAAGTTATAATATTTAGCATGGGGTAAATGGCGGTAATTATAACTGACATGGCACTAAGTTATGATATTTAGCATGGGGTAAATGGCGGTAATTATACCTGACATGGCACTAAGTTATGATATTTAGCATGGGGTAAATGGCGGTAATTATATCTGACTTGGCACTAAGTTATGATATTTAGCATGGGGTAAATGGCGGTAATTATATTTGACATGGCACTAGGGAAAGTTATGATATTTAGCATGGGGTAAATGGCGGTAATTATATCTGACTTGGCACTAAGTTATGATATTTAGCATGGGGTAAATGACAGTAATTATATCTGACTTGGCACTAAGGAAAGTTATTATATTAGGCATGGGGTAAATGGCGGTAATTATATCTGACTTAGCACTAAGGAAAGTTATTATAGTAAGCATGGGGTAATTATATCTGGCATGGCACTAAGTTATGATATTTAGCATGGAGTAAATGGCGGTAATTATATCTGACATGGCACTAAAGAAAGTTATGATATTTAGCATGGGGTAAATGGCGGTAATTATATCTGACTTGGCACTAAAGAAAGTTATTATAGTAAGTATGGGGTAAATGGCGGTAATTATATTTGACATGCACTAGGGAATGTTATGATATTTAGCATGAGGTAAATGGCAGTAATTATATCTGACTCGGCACTAAGAGAAGTTATTGTAGTAAGCATAGGGTAAATGGCGGTAATTATATCTGACATGACACTAAGAAAAGTTATTATAGTAAGCATGGGGTAAATGGCGGTAATTATATTTGACATGGCACTAAGGAAAGTTATTATAGTAAGCATAGGGTAAATGGCGGTAATTATATCGGACATGGCACTAGTAAGCATGGGGTAATTTTAACTGACATGGCACTAAGGAAAGTTATGATATTTAGCATGGGGCAAATGGCGGTAATCATATTTGACATGGCACTAAGGAAAGTTATGATATTTAGCATGGGGCAAATGGCGGTAATTATATCTGACTTGGCACTAAAGAAAGTTATGATATTTAGCATGGGGTAAATGACGGTAATTATAACTGGCATGGCACTAAGTTATGATATTTAGCATGGGGTAAATGGCGGTAATTATATCTGACATGGCACTAAGGAAAGTTACTATAGCAAACATGGGGTAAATGGCGGTAATTATATTTGACATGGCATTAACGAAAGTTATTATAGTACGGATGGGGTACATGACGGTTTAGCATTATGAAAATAACTAAAACAATCTAGCTATGCACTTAAAAAGTTATTATTTTTGGCTTTGTTGAAATGACGGTAACATTTAGCATGTTGTACATGACAGTGATGAGGAAAGTTATGGGCTAATGCGGTTATTATATCTGGCATACGCTTTAGGGAAGTTAATATATAAAGAATGGTGTAAATGATAGTATTATTATCTGTTAGCATCCAACCTTTTGTTCGATCAGTTCAATTAATCGATTCAATCTTTATTTCAGTATATAAGGCCACACCCCATTGTGCAAAAACAATAATAAGATTTAAGAAGCATACTTCTTTATAATAGATTACGAAATGTCTGTCAAATATGTAAACCTAATCCCCTTACATTTATAAATATATTAACTTAATTTGCAATAATTTCCGACATTCATTACTTTTACAAATTGGAAAACATCACTATATTGGATTGGACATGTAATCAAGAAATGTATCATCTTCAATCGTTTTTTAATTATAAATAAGGAAACTTAAACTACAGATTTGAACAGATCTATCTAAATGTGAGCGAGCCAGCTTTGGTGAACTCCACTCAGGACTCCACACAGAAACTGTAACAGACTTATATAAATACTCTTTATTTAAAGAACATGTGCACCACATGGAAACGAAAGAAAGATCTAAATATCCCAGAGTTAGCCAAGGAAACCGAAACAAGGAAAATTGCCCATACCCTGCCACTTTCCTTTGCAGTCCTTACTCCCTCTCTTGTGCAGACCAATCTACCTGTATTTAACTAACATACTTCGAGTTGTCACCTCCCGACAGGACAACAGGCCCTGAGAACAACACCACAGACTGTGTCTCTGCAACCATGATGTCTCTCCATGCCCTGTCTGCAACTGACTAGAATAAATGAAACCATGTAACCTTATTAAGTATGAATATTGAACAGCTGCTGAACTAAAAATAGATATGATGAAATACATCAAAGACACAAAATGTTACTATGTTTTGACAAAAACTAAACGATATTACCAGCAATATCTTTACCGTATATAACCTAATATAAAATACACGATAATTAAAGGGATTGTAAAAGGGTTTTCTAGCCTTTTTTATGTGTATCGGGGACACATGTCTTGTATTGGGGACATCTCCTCACACAAGATGGTGGCATTTCTAACTACAAAATTGACGACTTCTTCACATAAACTTACTTTAATCTCCAACATGTGCTGCCCATGTTACTCTACCAACTTCAACTAAAATTAATAACATATCAAAGCGTGCTTTAGGAAACCTAAGATAAGACATTTTCAGCAATTTTCGATAAAAATTTTTCACACCACAACTTTATATACTTTATGTAATAATTTAAAGAAATTGGTTATCTGCCCAATTCACCATACAGCTGAATTACTGGTACATGTACTTGAATTTACATGTAATGTATATGTAGAAAAGCTAAGATGTAATGTTTTAATCTGTACATAAGTTGTATGACCCAAAAATTCTGACCCGTAACAAATTATTGGAACATATTATCGAATAGGAGTACTGATGTTACAGCTTTTGACAAATAATTTCAAAATATTACACGCCTTTTTCAGCTTGAGTGTTCTAATACCATCTGACCAACAAAGTTTTGGAGTGAAAATTAATCAGCAAGGTGATAGTCATGTCATGGTTATTGTATGTTGGTATTGAGGTTTCTTGATGTCATCACATGACTAGTACAAGACGGAAGAATTTCACAGAATTGAAATTAACGATATTTCTTTATGGCGATTGTGTTTACTTGTTTAATGGTAGTATGTCGTTCTTATTGGTGGTGGTGCTTTATGTGGAATTCGGATGGTGTCGATAGTACTTAGAGCATAATGTATAGGGCGCGAACAAGTATAGTTTTATCGGATGTGATATTTTCCAGCTTGACAATTTTCTTTAGTAAATGACGATTGTAGCATCCAACATTTTGTTCGAACAGAGAATGGTATCACCATATTACTTTTGATGGTTGTAGTATGAGCATATGGGTTTTGATGGTGAAAGCATCAGTATTGCCGTGTGAGTTTTGGATGGTGGTGGTATAGCATGCGGACTTGGTGATGATAGTATCAGTACGATGGTTTTGATGTTGATAGTATCAGCGTGATATAGGAAATAATGATTGTATTATCAGCATAAAGGATTTGATGATGGTAGGTTCAGCAATTTAGTTTTGATGTTGATGGTATCAGCATACAGGAATAAGTAGTGGTAGTATCAGCATGCAGTTGTTGACAGTGGTGGTATAGCATACAGGTTATGATGGTAGTTGTATTGGTACTTGGTTGATGGTGGAATATGAGAATGTGGTTTTGGTGTTGGTAATGTGGATGATAATGGTGGTAGTATCAGCATAATATATGGATTTTGGTGGTGGCTGTATCAGCGTGTGAGGTTTTATGGTGGTAGTTCTAGAAGACATGCTTTGACGGTATAGACATAACATTCTCGCTTTGTAGTGGTAGTTTCAGCATGTGAATTTTATTTTTGGTAGTCGCAGCATGTGTTCGCACTTGTTTTATGGTGATAGCACCATGTGGAATTTGATGGTGGCAGTATATGCATGCGGATTTTGATGGTGGTAGTATCTACATGCAGATCTTGATGGTGGTAATGTCAGCATGCAGGCTTTGAGTAGCAGCACATGGATAGTATCCATATTCTATTGATGGAATATTCATGCGGGTTTTGGTGGAAATATTGCCCCTTGCTTGAATGTGGTTTTACAGCATTTTTGTTTTGATGGTGGTAGTATGAGCATGCGTGTTTCGTGTGTATTGCTGATAGTACCAGCATGCGTTTGTTTGTTTGCTATTGGTATTATTAGCATGTGGGTTTTGATGGTGGTTAAATCAGCCTACGGCTTTTGATGGTTTTATTATTTTGACAACAGGTTTTGATGGTGGCGCATAGCAAACACTATCAGCACGTGGGTATAGATTTTAATTTGATGGTGGAAGTATCAACAATTTAGATTTTGATGATGGAAGTATTGCGCCCTGTTTGATAGTATCAGCATGTATGTTTTGATGTTGGTAGTATTTGTACGCGGGCTTTGAAGGTGATAGTATCTGCATGTGGATTTTGATGATGGTAATATCAGCATGTTTGTTTTGATTTATTTTTGACAAACGAGCTTTGGTGATGGCAGCATAGTATAAGTGGTAGTATCAGCATTATGGCATTTGATTTGATGGTGGAAAAATCAGAATGCGGTGTGATCGTGGTAGTATTGCCATGCAGGTTTTTATGGCGGTACTATCAGCATGCGAGATGGTGGTTGGATCAGAAAGCGGGTTTTGATAGTAGAAGCATTGACACCTGTTTGATGGTGGTATTAGCTTTCGGATTTTGATAGTGGTAGTACCAGCATGCGAATTATGATGGTGATAGTATCAATAGCGACATATTAGCACGTGTATGTTGATTGTCGTTGTATCATCATTATCGTGATGGGATTTGATATTGGTGATATCTGCCTGCCGGTTTGATGTAGAATTTGCAATCGATTTGACTGACATTTGTTTGATGGTAGTTGTATCAGCATGTGGGTTTTTGATTGAGGAAATATCAGAACTCGGGGTTTTGGCGGTTGCAGTATTTTTATTCGGGTTTTGGAAGTGGTAACTGCAGCATGTTAGTTTTGATGGTATCAGTATATCGGTTTTGATTTGATGTTGGAAGAATTGGCACTTGTTTGATCGAGTGGTATCAGCATGTGGGTTTTTTTTTTTATGGTGGAAGGATCAGCATGCGAGGTTTGGTGGTGGTAGTACAAGTATATGGGATTTGATATTGATGGGATCTGTAATCCGTAATCTTGTTTTGATCTGATGGAAGAATTGAATGATGGTGGTAGTATCAGCATGTGGGTTTTGATAGCTGTTGTAGTATCAGCAGACAGG